AGTAATGATTTTAACAATAGTTGAGTGGCTCTCTTTTACATATGTTAATACACCAAAGAGATTTTACCAAGATGTCATGGGGAGATGAGTTTGAAAAGTGGGGAGAATAATTTTATAATTCATATGGACTAATGAGAAAGGTGTGACTTTGAATTTGAAAAAATTGTGTATAAGAGTAGTGGAATTGAATCAATTTGTGTTTGAGTAAATTTCTATAAGTAGGAGTCTAAAATTTCTATAAGTAGTGGAATTATATTTGAGTACAATTGTGTTAAACTATCTTTAACAGAAAGTGTGTTTTCACATGCATGTCAATTCAATTGAATCTTCCGGTCCGATTTGTCTGGTCTGGTCGATTTAAGTATGATCTAGTCTAATTTGATTTGAACTGATCTTGTACATGTTTGTTCTATTTGTACTTTGCAATTATCGATTTCTGACCTGGTTCGATCCTTAAGTGCATATATTAATAGAACTAATTTTTTATTTTTTGTACATGCATCATTAATGGCATAGGAAAGACACTAAAAAGTTGTAGTTTTTTCTGGAATAATGTTAATTAAATAAATAAATCACAAAATATTATTGCGTTAAAATAATTCTCAAAATACTGCTGGAGTTAAACGCGGTTAATTAAGGAAAGCCGCCACTCGAAGTGACTATTCTTATATACAGTACAAAAGCTGCCACTCGAAGTGGCGGTTCTTCTTTTTTTTTCTTTTTTCTTTTTCCTAGTTATTTTTTTATTTTTTATTTTCACCCCACGGGGCATTGAGGGGAGGGGGTTGGGGGGCCTGAGGTAAATTGGGATCAATCTAACTCTATTGAGAATTGAACCCGGGACCTCCCATAAGCCGCCACTCCAGTGGCAGTTCTTCTATACAGTACAAAAGCCGTTACTTGAAGTTGTGGTTTTCTATAGTACAAAAGCCGTCACTCCAAGTGATGGCACTTTTGCGTAGTAAATTCCACAACATGTCATTCAAGTATTCAACAAAAGAAAAACAAAAATTTGTTCAATACAGTACATTTAACTCATAAACATCAAACACATGTTCTTTAATTAAAAGGTTAAATTATTTTTTATTTTTTTATATTCAATATGGGTGTCATTTGAAAGATAATAAAAAGTTGTGAATTTTGATATATTTTTTATAACAATCAGAGTACAAATGAAAAAGTTATAACACTTTAAAAAAACTAGAGTTTTGTTTTGTTAGAACCCTAAATAATAGGAGTATGTATTGTACGTAACATTATACTCGGTAATTCCTATGAAATACGGCCGAAGGATTACTTTCCTTTAATATAAAAATGATTTTAAACAATAATTGTGGAATTGACATGTGGCAATACTTTCCATTGTAACCTTCAAATGTATTATCTATAGATATAGATACTCCATACTAATAAGGATTGAGTCAAAATTATGACTCGATGGATTATATTAACTCTTAAGGTAACCTTTGTTTTATTATTAATTTTCTATTGTAAACTGTTTTGATTTATTCAGTAAACCAAACTCATGCACTGTACTAGTAGTTCTTTCATTTAGTTCTTTGAAACATGAATTAAAAGGAAAATATAATCATTTTTTAAGAAGATTAAAAGTCCCTTAGGTGAATGCCGGTTGCTCATGGAAGATTTATTCTATTTATGTAGACGGGTTTACGAGTTTGGATTATTTGTGTAGACATCTTTGGTAGGGATTATTATTGTAGAACCACTAAAAGTACGGATTATTAGCATGAATTTCGCCTTTATTCATTATGGCCACTTGTGGACAATTTTATGCTACTCTCTCGTCCCGTTAAGAATGTTTCATTTTACCCTTTCGAGAAATTCTACTAAGGTTGTCACATATAAAATTTTGTAATGTTTGCGTGGTCTAAATTGTTTTTACTTTACTCTTACATTGTCAATTCAATATCAACCACATAAATTCACTTTTCTTAATAATTGTATCACACCCTCTTATTCCAATGTTAGTGGGATAGAGGTAGTAGTATTTTTTAACATACGTTGAACAAAGTTGCGTTAGTGGGATTATACTCTTACCTGCACACCGGCTAATGAACCACACATTGAGAGGGCCACAGAAGGTTTATATGAAGACATGAACCAAGAAGTTTGTGATGAGAGGAAGCATGGAAATGGTTTTCCCCAATACGATTTTATGAGATAGAACCAAATGAATTAAAGTGAATGATCAAATGAATGAAGAAAATGACCAAACTCGACAGGTTGTGTGTGGTCATCGTGTTTATGATAGCGACAAAAGTGATGAAATATATGAAGAGGGGTTGATGAGAATCAAAGAGAGGAGGTTGTGTCTTGAGAAGAGAGTGATCCAAGGGAAGAGGTTGTATCCGGTGACAGGGGCGTAGCTATGGGGTGATCAATCTTGACCTTGGTCCAATTCAAATTTAAAAAATGTCTATATTTTAGTGTAAAAAATTCTATGTAAAATTTTTCAAAAATATTCTTTATATCAGCCTAACCTCCGATCCTGTACCCTGGCTCCGCCCCTCTCGGGTGAAGACTAAAATGAAAATACAACTGAGTGCTCCACAGAAAAGCCAGACTCCGGCCAAAATGGTGAGGAGAAAACCATGTCACTCAGCTGGTTGCGACTGAGATTATAAGTACATACATTCCTCTAGATCGTTTGGGATGTATCTTGCCTTCAATATCATGAGGACGAATACGGAAGAGGGAAGAATTGGTCTGATGGTGCACTGAATTTGAAAATATATTCATTCATATCAATGCACATAAATAACACTTTTATTCATACTAATTACTACTCCCTCCGATTCAAAAACAAGTTTCACTTCACTATTCATTAGTCAACTTAAGTCACTCCTAATCTTTTATTATATATATATCAAATTTTTATTAAATTGAAATTTTCTTGATCATGTTTTGTAGCGATTTTAATATAGTTTCTTAATATGTAAATTTTGTTTACTAAAAATAATCCAAGTGTGAACAGGGATCGAATTGCTTAATCATCAGTCAAACATCGTAAACCGAACTGGAACTTTTTTTGAATCGGAGGGAGTACATCGTTTTTCCTTGAACAGGTTGTGTGGCATAGTTATGAACAAAATGACAAAACAGTCTCTTTGAGAAGCAAAACGAGTTAATGGTTCCAGAATTTTTTATTCTCTCCAGTTTAATATATATAGAAGTTGCACTATGAAAAATAATTTCAACAAACTTGTTACATGGAAAAGAGAGGAATGCCAAGCGATGCCCATATGTGTTAGAAACACAATTATTAAGGTTTATTAGAGACTGTCAGTCTATGTTTAAAGAACCAGACAGGACCGGCCAGATCAGCCCAAAACCAGGTGAACCAGTAGCTAATCTGGTCCGGTTGTGTCCAGAACCAGCTACGAGACAGGGAAATTACCCTATATGGCACACTATACACATAAGCGACACAAAATAGCCCCATTGCCATCTCTAGGGGCCTAAAGGAGATGGGTCTTTTTCGATTCAAAAACTGTCTCATAGCCTTCATGATTATTTTCTAAATACTACGTATTATATATGAAAGTCTAATTAGTTGACCTCCCTATATGTCTACGCAATTTATTTATTCCCACCAGAACACATAAATTTTTGGATTTAATAAAACAAAATACATTTTTCTTGGTGTAAGATCTGAAAACGATCATATTCTGCCTTTTCATCTCAAGCCTTAATACAATGGAAGCGAAGCAAAAATAAAATGAAAGATAACTGCCGCCACTGGGAAAACACAGCCAAAAATAGAAATTTAGAGGATTGATGAAAAGAACAAAAAGCAGTATTGCACAGCAGTATTGCACCCTAGTGGCTATATATGTTTAAAACACCGACCCGGCTGGGTTGACCCGGAACCCGGTGACCCGGGCAAAAAACTGGTTCGGTTTTTTCAAAACCCGGAAATGGTCAAAAACCAGAAAAACTAGGCTGACCCGGGAAAACTTGGTCAAGACCCGCACCCAAGAAACCCGAAAAACCCGGTAAAACCCGGTTTTTGGGTGTTTTTACAGAAAAAAAAGTAATTTCTTTTTTATTTTTAATGCATTTTTTATACCAATAAAATTGCAATTTCAATAACTTAAAAAGAAAATCTACGTAATATATTTATATATTTATTTAATAATGAACATCATGCCAAATTATAATATAGATATACAATAAAAATAAAAATATCATTATATATTTTTCTAAGATCAAAATATGCATTGAAATATTATAAGAGTGTATTAAATGCTTAATAAGTAGTATTGTTAGTTGATTATTATGAATAATAACTAATTTTATACTAGTATATAATAATATGTTTACTATTATTATATAGACTATACTCATTGACCGGTTTCCGGCGTTGACCGGGTTGACCTACCAGGTCCCGGTTGACCTGTGACCCAGTCATGTGACTAGTGGTTGATCAATTTCATATACCTGAGACGAGGTTAATGAGTTGAGAGGTTAAAACCACAATATAAATTGCAAAATTCTTGTTTACGAAAAATGGTTGATCAATTTCATTTACGCTTGGCTCCTTTTACCTCTCACGCCATTCCAAAACAGAACTTCATTATTACCTTTGAAGGTGTCATGACTTTAAGCAACTCTAGGTTCAGTAGATAAGTGTGGCTAATTGAAACAAGTACATTTATTAGGCTATATAGAATGCAGTAAAAGTTTGCTAGTTAATCTAAGTGAATATGGGGATCATGTGAAAATTACACCTTCAAATACTTCCCAATCACTAGTGGTTCTTCAATTCAAGGCTATTTAATCCTAAATTTTCACTTAATTCAAGTGTTATGTTAAAAAAACATCTAAAAACAGCATAACCTTCCAACATAATTCCTTTTGTAGTAGTGTGTTCAGATGTTCTATCAGGTAAACCTTAACTTTATAAAATAAATAAATCTTTGTAATAAAATATCAAGCTTAAGAGGAATACTTCGTATAACCATAACTAAGTCTTGAAGTGCCCATTCAAATAACACAATCCAGTAGAACATCGCATAACACTTTTTAATAACATTTGTTGAGTAAGGCTAGCATCAAATCCATTTTAATGTGTCCATAATAAGGTATCAGATTCTCATACATATCAAACACGGTAGCCTGTTTGGAAGAAGTTATCATACTCAAATGAAAGAAGAAGAAACATTCATCGGTCAATCTCAGCTATTGAGCCAAATAAATGCCCACACATATCCTAGGTATTTTGATGGATTATGCTAAAAAAGCTACAAATTTGAATTACAAATAGAATCAGCTAATGCAGATAACAGATACTGAAAACACAGATGCATCATCACTGATTACTTGCAAGTTGCAGCATTTCAACAACAGCCTTCACCACAAATGGAAATCTTTCAGTATTAAACACATTTAAACGGAAAGTAAATGACAAACACAATAAGCATTATATAAAAGTTCAGACTGAGTTCCACAAAAGCTGAAATAATAATCAAAAGTTCATTAGAGCAGATAAACCAAAACTTGAACGGACGGCTTACTAAACGAGATAGCACAAACACTTTGTATTAGACTTCCAAACTGCCGATCAACGGTAGGATTTCTGGAACCTGGAACGAGCACCACGTCCACCAAACTTCTTGGGCTCGCAGCGCCTTGGATCCGCAACAAGCAATGTCCTGTCATAGCGAACGAGGATGTCCTTGATCTCTTTCTTCGATTGCTCGTCGACATACTTCTGGTAAAAGGCTACGAGGGCCTTGGCGATGGATTGACGAATGGCGTAGATTTGAGCTGTGTGACCTCCTCCATTGACACGGATGCGCATGTCCACGCCGGCGAAGCGGTGGCGGCCCAATAGGAGGATAGGCTCACAGGCCTTGTAACGGAGGATCTCAGGCTGGATCAGCTCGATCGGTGTTCCGTTGATCTTGATGAGTCCACGGCCGCGCTTGCAGTGGGTCACGGCCACCGCCGTCTTCTTACGCCCGAAACATTGAACGTGCTCCACCGGTGAAGTCGCCATGCTTCCGTTTACCTTGGCTGCGGATATCTACGCCTGCACTCTGAGAGCGAAAGAGTATACGCGCAACGATTTATGGGGCTAGGGTTTTGAACAATAAATTTATAGGTGAGTGAAAGAGACTCGAGCCCTAAACTTTGGGCCGCTATAGTGATTCGGTCCAATTCCGGATGCCGATATTTAAATTGGGCAACCTTATATGCTGTATTTAGAAAGACCCGTTTCATTTTAGATCAATAGACCAACAAACAGTCGAAGGCCCATAAAAAAAATCTGATATTACTAAAACTCATATATTTTCGAGATATAACATATATTAAAGAGAAATAATATACTTCTGATATATGTCGAAGTGCACGTATATCTCTAAACTTCTAAAGGTGCACAAGTAAAGGTACATATTTAGTCAATCTGTTTTTGCTTTTTTTGTAAATTTATTTTTTTATATCAAGTCAATAAAAATAAATATGTTTCATTATAGGAACATTAGGGGTATATATGCACATTTTCTCTAATGGTATGTTTGGGAGTTGGATTTTGGAGGGAGGGGATGATTTGGGGGGGGCTTTTGTAACTCTTCAAAACCCTTCAAATGCTCAATTTTCAAGTTCCCCCAAAATTTGGGGATTTTGAAAGACAACTAATTAAATGACAACTTTAGCTCAATTTTAAATAAATATAAATTCAACTATTTGAATTATTCGTATATGTGAAGTGATTTTAATTATAATCATCCAAAACTCCTATCTTTTCAAACTTGTTACTCCCATACGAGAAGAAGGGTTTCCAACCCTTTCCTTCCACTTTCTTTCCAATGACTAACCTTGAAAACATTCCCCTTACTAAATCAAGGCTGATTTTCAAAAATGTGACCACTTTCATATTTGGACAAAAATGTGACTAAGAAGGTCATATTCATGATTTTTAATGTCACTATTTAATTTTAATGGCACTATCAAATGTCACTGTTGTCGTCACCGGTGTCACTGTAGTCACTGTCTGTGTCACTGTAGCCACAGCTCGTGTCAATGTAGCCACCGCCCGTGTCACTATAGTCACCGCCTGTGTCACTGTAGTCGCCGCATGTGTCACTGTAGCCACCGCCCGTGTCATTGTGATCGTTTTTCGTTTAGAGACGCGACCAGCCTCACCGGCTGCCACAACGGCGGCTGTCCGCGCAACACCGCGCCCGACTAACCGCCACCCCACTCCACACTCGCATTTAGCCCCACACACATACATCCGGCAACCACAACCGTGACAGCCACCGCCCTAACCGTGACCACACCGGCAGCTCCCCAACCCACAAGCCCCCTCCCCAGCCCCACCACAACCCACCAGCCCCCTCCCAACCCCCTCCCCACCCACCAGCCCCCTCCCAACCCCCTCCTCACCCACCAGCCCCCTCCCCAGCCCCCTCCCCACCCACCCGCCCTCTCCCCAGCCCCACCACAACCCACCAGCCCCCTCTCAACCCCCTCCCCACCCACCAACCCCCTCCCCAGCCCCACCACAACCCACCAGCCCCCTCCCAACCCCCTCCCAACCCCCTCCCCACCCAGCAGCCCCCTCCCCAGCCCCACCTCAACACACCAGCCCCCTCCCCCCACTCCAGCCACACCTCAACCCACCATCCCCCCTCACCAGCCCCCAGCCCGACCACCAGCTCCGCCACCCAATCTCACTGGCCCAAGTCTCATCTCCAGAGCCCGACAGAACCCCTACAGCCTTGCCCAGCAACGCCGCACCACAACGCTCAAGCCCTCAAGCCTCACCCCTGTAGACAACAGTGCTTCGCCCTCAAGCCTCGCCCCTGTTGAACTCAAATCTGAAAATCGATTTGAATTTCAAATCGAAGAATCAATGAACTTCTGACAATATGCAGAAGAGAGGAGGACCGGCGTCTTGGAGCGTCGAAGAAGATGGCGCAATGGCCGTGCGAAGAGAGAAGCCTGCAGACTTTTGACGAGATGCAGCAGAGAGAAGGACCAGCAGCTTGGAGCGTTGAAGAAGATGGCACCATGGCCGTGCTGAAGGAGATCGATGTTGAAGCCTCCAGACCTTTGCTGAAGGAAGATCGATGCTAATGAAATCCACAGAAGACCGCAGAGAGGGAGAAGCAGTACTTCTGATGAAATCGACGAAAGAGGGACAAAATAGAGAAGTGGGCGAGAAGCGGGTGAGTTTTGAGTCAATTTTAAAAAGAGTCATATTTTTGTCTTATGAAAGTTGGTGAGTAATATCTATGTCATTGTTTCAAGAAAAAATATAAGTAATCATATTCTAGGAAAACTCATGAGTTTAGTAATATTAGTGTTAGTTTTCTAGATATTAAATAGCATTATTTTTCTCAAGCTATGTTTGCCATTACTACTACAAATCATATTTTGGATTTTTTGTTAACAAATATTATAAGAGTGATTGTAAATACAAATTCTAACTTCAATTTAAGAGATTTTAAATCAAAAGTGGAAAGCAACTATGAGTATGCTTTTATGTGCTTCTAAGTTTTTTATAAATGTAAGTTTGAGAAAAGTTTTATCCATGAACTTCGGTCGTACTTGTCGTCAAAACTGATTTTCTTCTCCATCTCTCTGTATCGCCAAGCATCCTCGATCAGAAAAGCTAAAGCTTGAAGTTGTTTTGTCAAGATTAGGTTAGTTCATGTCTGCTAATTTTTGTTATCCTCGTTTGATTTAATGGACTTTTTGTCATACCTGTTCAAAAACACGATCGGACTTTATTCATTCCTCATTTCCTCTCATATCTCCATTCACCTGCCACAAGACTCCTTTTCTCATATCAGGTATGCTATTAGGGCTATAATAATGCATTACTACCTCATAATGTAAGATGCATTTGAACTTTGAGTAGGTTTTAAGAAAATAAAAGATAAATGAATTGTTCTACAATTCTAACCTCCAAAAAGCATGGAGAAAAATAGATCCAATGAGTGAAATGATAAATAACGGGCTAGAGTGAAAAAGTAAAAAGTTAATGAAATCCAATTTAAGAAAGTGCTTATATTTTTTGGACAAACCAAAAAGGAAAATGTATCTTACAAAATGGGGCGGAGGGAATACTTGATTAAGATAATATCCCGTTGCATGCAATGTGCTTTTCAATTGATTGTCCTACCTTTCATCGATGATTTCCCAAAATAGTATGTCGATATATAGCTAAAAATAATAAATTATAGATTAAATAAATTATAGATTAAGGAGATGTATAGAAATTTACCCATCTTGATGCCTCTGATTTTTTTTTAATATTCTCATGCCCGTGATCCATTTCTTCATGAATGAATCCCTTAACGGTTTTGCATCATAATTCACTAATCGTAAAACCTTAAATAGATAAGAGCCCCTAAAAAAATCAAAATATTTTTACAAAACTCTTGATTGAATATTTTATCTTCCATAAATTGTTCATCTCTAATCCATGAAAATTGATTAGACTTTCACTCATGAGATACTACTATTCGTATTAATAATCCCTTATTCTCATGCAAACATCTCAATATGAGTCATTTAAGATATATGGGGTGTTTGAATCTGATTCTTGAAACTGCTTCTGCTCTTTCAGGGAGCAGAAGCAGAAGCTGAAGTGTTTGGGTGAAAGTGCAGATGTGATTCTGGTGTTCTAATTTACTCCTAGAATCAGTTTTTTAGAAGCTGGGGGTGACCAGCTTCTGAAAACTGATTCTGATCCTGCTTCTGCGTTAAAAAAGAAGCAGAAGCAGAATCAGTTCCAAACACCCCCATAATCAAATGACCGTCCTTTGTAAATTTATGTAAGAAACACACAAGACGGATACAAGAATAAATATAAGTTGCGATCTTCTTTCCCACTATAATTGTCTATTGATGAGGTGAAATTTTCTTCTCAAAATCTCCTGACATGACACCAATACTATCGGGGTGCGCATAACATCCAATACAAATTCTTTCTCTTTCTTTATCAAGAGATTTCCCACAACCTAGCTTGTAAGGCTTTATGAATTGTTTGTTGTTTCCTAAATAGTGTATTCCTCCCCAATCTCTCCAATGTTATCACTCAACATGTTTTTCATTTTACCAATGGCTTTAGAAATGTCAAATGCATCATTAGCTTTCAAGTAAATGATTTTTAAGACTACATACTCTTCAAGAATTTCACAAATGTCCTTTTCCTCGTATCCACATTTACCCACCATTATATTATACTTTGTTTTTTTTCATGAGGCCTTGTGATCCTCTACTATTTCAGTAGTCTTCTCAACTTGCTTATTCAAATTATTCACCCTTAATCTATAGGGCATTGGAACATTAAAAGGGATATGATATCATCATTGTAAAAAAAAATAAGGAAATTGGATCTCATGCTTCCTCCTGCATGTTCATCTTGAATATAGTATTCATCATTTGAGTCCTCTCCCTTCTCTCAAAGATATTAACGGGGTTGTTCGCCTTCTAAGCTCCTTTTCATTTCCCATGATCATCTCCTTCATTTTGAAACCCCTTGATATTTGTTTTTTTGTATGTTAAACACAATATCCCACATTTCTTTGCTCATTCTTTTACATTTTTCCATCAAGAACCGATTTCGTCACTCGCCTTTTTACATTGTTCAAACTTTCAATGACAGTACAACATGTCGGGTCATTGGAACCCAATAGAGAGAAGTGGTGGTTAAATCTTAGAAAGAAAACGTAAAGCCAAACTATATATACATACAAACAATACATGTTTTAATGCCCAGGGGTTGAGACACGGAGGGGCTGGAGGGAGCCTCGGGCCCTGCAATAAAAAAATTCTTAAGTATATATTATGTATAAATACTTTTAATCTATAGAAAATATGTTGATATTTTAAACTTTGGCCCCAATAATGTAAAATTTTTAAAAATCGGCCCCCTTAACAATAGATTTCTAGCTCCGCCACTGTTAATGCCCATTCTATAAAGTTTTCCCCTAACATATTTACCATCATAACCACCCGTTCACTGCTAGGAAAATGCCTTACAGTGACACTAAATTAGAGTCACTAAAAGTTTCTACCAACAACAGCAACAACATCCAAGCCTTAATCCAAAAAGAATTGGG